TAACCCTTGAGTCACCAACTCAGTTTTAGCAATTTTATAAGCATTTTAATAGGACAAGGTTCATCGGTGTAGTGTTTAGGAATACACATTCTTTCCACATTACCTATATGTTATTTAATTGTATTGGATTTATAACTAGGGAACGCAATCAATAGGATATCCTATTAAACGCATGCATCAGCTTTGTGAGTTAATCATACGCATTTCCTGCTATTAAATAATGGTTGTATTAGGTATTTATTTTGTGAAACAGTACTCAGAACAGTTTTAATATAACAAGCTTATTTACTAGTGTGAGGTATCTTGCCAATAAAACTATTATCGTATTTTTTTTAACATCCGTATAATTTTGCATGTTTCAGCCAGTACTCTAATCAAAGTAGGTTTTAATCAACAACACTATTACAAAGGAATTATATTATTATGTATCTTGTAACTTCTCCCTTCATTTGTCTATGACATGATTACGAACTATTTATTAACTCTATTGTGTCAATCCAAATGTACTTTATGTATGTATGCGTATTTTATTATGTTGGTGTTTCAGCAGTGGAAACTGTTTGTAAACTTGTACATCTTATATAATATTATAAATGTGAATAGTTAAATGGATGGATGTTTGTTTGAAGGTATCTGCAGAACGGCTGCATGAGCTTGCTGAAATTTGGCATAGATGTAGAACATAGTCTGCAAAAACACATAGGCTATTTTTTTTTTAATTTTGCGCAAACGGAGTCTCGGGCGACGGCTAGAATACATCTAAATCGTGATCTATTAAACGTGACACGGTAAACAAGGCCAGGCTATTATAATTACCGTTTGTACACTCGATAGTGATTTGTGCACAGAGTTTTTGTTTTCATTAACCCATGACGGATTTGTGATATGATCGATTAGTTTGACACGAAATTGACCAGTTTATTGACATCGTTGATACGATACAGGAGAATTAGCTTTTTTTGTATTTCTGAATTGGGTGTGCTTCAAAGTTTTTAACACTCCAGTTAATCTCTATAAATTTGATTACAGTCGAACCTAGAAAATCAATAACTAGATAAAGTAAGAAACATCTATCCTCTTCCTTATAATAAGCGAGAAACTCGGGGTGATAAAACTCTTTATAAGTTTTAGAAATGTCTATGTCGTTTATGTCCCCTCACTAATAATGATTAGTGAGGGGACATAAACGTCGACATTTTAGCAACGCTAGTGTTGCGCCAGTACATTAGCACAGTGTCGGATTTTCTTCCTAACATAAGCGAGAAAAATATCGCAATTCCTTGGACTCACGCTTGTCTACCTTCGACTGTATTGTGTTTACTAGTTAAAATTAGTTGACACAACAAAACCTACTTTCAGAAGATCTAGATTATTTACAAAATAACCTAAAAGTAATGATGACTTGTATTTTATAAAGATCTAGACTACGACTAGGAGTCATTGACCTGTCGACAATATCTCCAGTTCGCTGTACAATGCCGTCTTATTGCAGTCATACAAATTGCCGATATTTGAATAAATCGTAAGTGCACAACGCAGTGCATGTCGGGTCGAGGGTTACCGCCGGACGGACAATCGACAGTCCTTTATTACTGGAATATATCTAGGGTTGTCACTTCTCATATTAATTTATTTTTAATGTTACATGCTGACAGTTGTTGCGTAAAATATGTTAATATCAAAACACCCTTGTTGACAAAACCCTGCCATCATCTCGTACATTTGCGCAAAAATACGCTTCTTTCAATATATTTGTTTGGAAAAATATCATTTTAATAACAGTAAAAACGTATAAATAACTTTTTAGGTAATGTCCACTGGTTTCGATAAGTTCTTTATAAATTTCAAATTCTGTGTTTTAAGTTTTCAAATCGGAAAAAATCCTCGCAAATGTTTAAAGAACGAAAAAATAGTTAAAAAACATAAATCAGATGCTATGCTTTCTAGCAAAAACCTCTCCACTCCATTCCTTTTTGTCTTTTCAGCAAGTAAAAGCTTAAACTTCGCTCCAACATCGGTTTTAATCTTTTAAGACCATTTAGTTGTCTTTTGTTTTGCGGCCGATTCGAATTGGCTTCTATTTTGCCTTTTAGTATTATTACATAAAGGATTTCTTTTATAAAGGAAGTTTCTGAATCGGCTTAAATTTTGTGACTAGCAGATGTGACTTTACGTCATTTACTCGTAGATATAATAATACACTTGTCTGAAATGAATGAAGTCTCTTAGTTTTGTTGGATGGATTGTTTATTTCGTTCTAATAAGTATAGTAAGTATAAATCAGATAGATTTATTAAGATATAAAGTCCAGATTACAGATCTTATATATATTAGGTTAGTTAGTTTTACGGTTTCTTAAAAATTTACTTCGTACAGTTGGTTATGGAGACTGAGACATTAGCCGTGGGTTTTTGTTTTTGGGTTCAGAATCTCTCCGTTTAAAACATATTGTTATCTCTGTGTTGTCAAAGATAATGACAGGGATGGCGATATGTTTTAAACGGGGATTTTAGTCTCAGAAACACACGGTTAGGTTAGGTAAGTTATTGCTTTGTTACTTTGTGACCTTATTTTTGTATAATTTGCTAATAACCCATTGGATTTGCAAATGAATCTTTTTATCAATGCTAGTTGGAAACTTGGTTATCATGAGATTTGTACTATCGTCAATTATCAGTGCATGTACCTGATTTTATCTTATCTTATCATTGTGCGTATCGAAAATAAGATTTGTATAAAACTATATTGTATTGTTCAATATTGTATTTCTTTTACGCTTTTTAATGTTACTGCGTCGATTTTAAAATATGTAGTATGTATGCAGAAATTTCGTTACAAATGCTGAAATGTTTTACATTATCAGCTTACTATACGTTCCCACCGAGGGGCTCGGAGCCTACTCTTAGTTAAAGGTGATTAGGCCATAGTCAACCACGCTGGCCAAGTGCGGGTTGGTTGACTTCACACATATCTTTAATTTCTTCTCAGATATGTGCAGGTTGCATCACGATGTTTTCCTTCACCGTAAGAACGTCGGATAAATGTACATATATGTTAATGGGAAATCGAAAAACACATTGGTACACGGTGTTATTCGAACCCAGGACCTGCAGATTGCAAGTCAAGTGCTTGACCCCTGAACCACCGACGCTCTGAAATTTTTAGCCATAGACAAACTACAACTTTTTCGTACAAGACGTAATTTACAAAATAATTACTGTGACTTTTTTTTTTCAAAATACTATTATATATAACAAAACCTACCCTTATTTTAGAATATAATTTCACTTTATTTAACAATTTTCAAAAAATAATTGAAAAATGAAAAAAAAAAGCGTAATGGACGCTATTTATTGGATTTGTCCGTCGACTTAATATAGGCATTAATAATGAAATACACAAATAATTTTAATTTATCTCACGTAATCGTGTGCGGTCAACCCTAATTGATACATCTGACAGGATGTCGTCCTTTAGGCACGAGGGTTGAATACTCGTCGGTTATCCGACCGATTTCAATCGCACTATGACCTCTAGACGCACTACTAAAGAGAGACTATCGTCATATTGTAGGATAACCTCAGCTTGGAAACTCGATACTTTATTATGAAGCTAGACAAATAATGCCATTGTGTGAATACTATTGTTTGATTTTTATTGTCTACGTCTAGCCTTTAATATATTAGTTTAATTACTTCGATTTTTTTAACATACTTTTTGTATTCTTTACTTGGTATCTAAATATAAAAATATTTTAATTTAGTTAGAATTAAAAAAAAAATTGAGACGTCATTTCGCGTAATAATTGATGTTCTAAGATTACTGTCTGATGATAAAATTCATTCTACAATTGCAGCAACAATCGATTATATATCCGTCTCTTTCTAGCACATAAAGCCAGCGTTTTAAAAATGGAATACGCTATCAACAAAAGAGAGATGTCTGCTCATTATGGAAACTGAATATAATGAGTGAACTTTGAGCGTATTCCATACTTACGATGTAGGTTAAGAGCGCCCTCTGTCTGTAAACGTTTTCTCGCTCCGGGGATACGCAAATTTTTATACTTGCGATGAATTTATTTACAATTTTATGACTTTACTAGCAGTTGCCGGCGACTTCCTCCGCCAGGAATTAAATAAAAAATCTATGTTATACTTCTTAACTAAATTTCAACAAAATCTGTTAAGCTGCTTCGGAGATACCTTCTAACAAACATCCATCTAAATATTCGCATTTATAATATTACTAACTTAGTAGCTTATGTCGCGACAAAGTTTATAAATTGCTGAACTGAAGTCTGGAGTAAGGGCCATTTCAGTATACGTCGTAAGTTTTATGGTTTGTCGTTAAGTTTAAGTTTGGGTACGCTAGGAATTCGTCGCATTTGGCGTAGGCAAGACGTGCCTGAGAGTTGTTTCTTGTTTGTGTGGGATAGATCGCAATTTTATGCCTTACAAGGATAGGAAGGAAGGATAGAATATTGATATTTTATGATGAAACATAATAAGCAACCATTTCCACTGGACAAAAATTTGTATTAACATATATTCTTTCCTCTCTTTCTATTTAAAAGGGAAAGACAATATATGTTACTGGGTAGATTGATGGATGGATGTTTTTAGAAGGTATCTCGAGAACGGCTGCATGGATCTCGTTGATATTTTACATTGATGTAGAATGTAGTATAACAGAACACATAGACTATTAATTAAGTTTTTTTTAATTCCGCGTGGACGGAGTCGCGGGCGACAGTTAGTAGATAAAAATGTAACGGCAGTGGAATTACCTGTGGATTTACCTGTATATGGGATTTCATTTGACAATTATACGGTATTTATTACCTTTAAGTATAATGTCACTTATTGCCACATTTAACGATGATCTCGTCACGGTTTACCGCAAGTCAATAATGACAAAGTATTAATACACGATTTTGTAATACACACCCTTCCTGATCCTGTGGTTGTTGTCTAACTTGTTTTCTCTCTTGTTCACAGTGCGGTGGGTAAAACATGTCTCCTCATCAGTTACACCACAAATGCCTTCCCCGGAGAATACATACCGACAGTGTGAGTATATGTTATTACATTATTTTACATTTAGATATGAAAATCTAGATATGGATCGATTAACTCTAGATACAAGGAAACGGAACTAATGTGAACCCTTTGACACAAATATAAAGTGGATTTAGTAACGAGAAACAACAAAAATATGTTTTTTTTAAAATATGTTTTATTATGAATATTTATAAGCATGTTATAGCAGGGTAGCGACAATCTGTCGCCATTGCTTCGAGCCGGACGCTCTCCGGTACAATTGAACAATTGATTGAAGACATCCTCTTGACCGATATTGATCTTACGACTTTCGTAATGATTCTTCTCTTGATACTGCCCTTTGTTTAGCCCATTAGTGCATAACTTTCGATAAATCGGACGCCAATAAAATTGTTATTTTAGGAGTTATGTATATTTTACTAACCGTTTATTTTTTTTAAACAGTAGTGTAATATATATGTGAAGTGGTAATACTGTTGGTATGACATTCCGGGTAGCATAACGTCCGATTTATCGGACGGGCTATAAAATCTAAACTTTCATATTGATTAAATATTTTATACAATTTAATGGTCAAATACACTCGAAATGAAAATATATTACAGTGATCATAATGAAAAAGGCGTTAATAAACTTTATGCACTAATGGGTTAATAAGTAGCCTATAAAATTTAGCTATAGTTGTATTAAATATTGTCTATATGTTGAAAATCTGGACAAAATATAGGAATTATTTATCTTAACACGTTGAATGCAACTACTTATTATTTAATGTCGAATCACACTTGCAGGTCGAATTGGTAGCACTGAACGTGTTGATATTTGTATTATTTATTTGTTTGTTTTTTTTGCTCTAAAGTCATAGTTATAACTTTATGATGACTGCATATTTGCGATGTTTTTATAGAAATTAATTCGACGCAAATATGTTGAGATAGAAGTATAATGATTAAGATTGAATTGATCTTAATTTAGAGGAAAAAGTTGTAGATATTTAAAAAGGTCATACCGAATATTATACTTTTAGACATTATTATTTAGAATCCTTTGGCGCAAATGGCGCGCTTTCATTACAAAGTCCAGTGCCAAAATGATTAGTGAGGGGACATAAATGTCGACATTTTAGTAAGGCTAGTGTTGCGCCAGTACACCGGCACAGTGTCTGATTTTCTTCCTAATATTAGTTAGAATCCTTTGGCGCAAATGGCGCGTTAATTACAAAGTACAGTGCCAGAATGATTAGTGAGGGGACATAAACGTCGACATTTTAGTAAGGCCAGTGCTGTGCCAGTACACCGGTACAGTGTCTTTATGCCGGACTTTCTTCCTAACAATACAAAATAAATTAAATATGCCGTCTTCTCTTTCAATTCATATATAACCAAGTGAATAACTAAATAAAGCACCAAAAGTTTTTCGGATAGCATTAAGCTAAATGTTTTGCACACCACTAGAATAATAGTATGTAAATAGATCGCTAGAATTCGAACCCGGTACCGCCCACACACGGTATTTGTTTGGCGATGGTGTGAACTGACCTTGCATATTGAATCATCGTTATTTAAAAAATATACCGGTAGTGTAAAAAGATATTGTTATAGTCCATTTGTTATTAGTTTTTAATTAAATATGAAGATATTTTTATTACTTGACAGTTTGTGTTGAAAAGACAAATACGGCTACCCCTGGATTGAAGGATCAAGGCGTGGAGACCATGTCCTAAAAAGCATTAAATTATCATTTGAATCACAACGGCCATTACTTTTAGTTAGAGTTTTGCCTTTTTTTTGGATTTTTGTCTTTATCAGACATGCCAATCCCATAGTGCCCATGATTTAGAGTTTTGTATTTCTCGAATTGACGACTACTTTTAAATAATTGTGGTAATAGATTTATCTCCGTATTCCAGATTCGACAACTATTCAGCGAATGTGATGGTGGACGGCAAGCCCATCAACTTGGGCCTGTGGGATACGGCCGGCCAGGAGGACTACGACCGCCTGCGACCGCTCTCCTACCCACAGACAGACGTCTTCCTTATATGCTTCTCACTTGTCAACCCAGCGTCATTCGAGAACGTTAGAGCCAAGGTAAGAAAGACGAAGAATAACGTAACACGGCGAGCAACAGATGTATATTAATTTTTAAACTTAGATGAATTTGACATTAATTTGATTTAAGTAAGTAAAATACAATATGCATGTTTAGAAGTCATTTTCAGCCATCCACAATTATTTTACAACTATCTGTCGCCCACGATTTCGTCTGGGCAGATTTATGTATAAAGTATGTGTTCCTCCAGACTATGTTCTACATCTGTGCCAAATTTCATCAAGATCCGTTCAACCGTTCCGGAGATACCTTCTAAACATACATCCATCCATCTAAACTTTCACATTTATATTATAAGATAAAATAGTAAAACATTTAAATAATTAATGAAAGAAACGGTTCCAAAGGTTATAATTTAATAAGGTTTATCATAGTATGGTTTAGTATACATATTAAATCTTAAAAAAAAGTTGAATAATGTATGTATTTCATGTTTGCAGTGGTACCCTGAAGTACGGCATCATTGCCCCTCAACGCCCATCATCCTGGTCGGCACCAAGCTGGATCTGCGCGAGGACAAGGATACCATTGAGAAGCTGAAGGAAAAGAAACTCGCGCCTATCACCTACCCACAGGTACGTTGTAACCTAACATTGTCTTAATCTTCATATCGACTTTCTGTTGTTTCTTTTGTAAGACCGCTCTTATGGGAAGTCTCCACTGTCACACCTATATGACGACTCTCGTTTTCTTGTTTTTTCTTACCATGCCGGGGCCCACAGGGTTATGTAAGACTGTGTAATTTGATGACCTGTGGCGCCCTTATCCGTCCAGCCCCCCTGGGCGATTGCCCAACCGAACTGTACCCTAACGCCTCCCCTGACAATAAGCGTTGCGTTGTCAAGGATTATCAAATCAAATTATAGTGTTTATGAACAAGATAAAGCGTGTACTCGTCGTTGTTACCAGGGCCTAAGCATGGCAAAGGAGGTGAACGCGGTGAAATACCTCGAATGCTCCGCGCTGACGCAGAAAGGCCTCAAGACGGTGTTTGACGAGGCGATCCGCGCCGTGCTGTGCCCCGCGCCCCGCGTCAAGCCACCGAGGCGGCCCTGCCAGCTCCTCTAAGTCAACAATCACCCAACAGGTAATCTCATAAACCAATAGCTCATTGGTTAAGGAATCAGCCATCCCATCAAACGATCGTACATTTAAGTCCCTACATCCACTATTTTTGTCCTAGAACTTATTGAAATTATTTATTTTACATATTAATTCTTTTAAATAATAAGATAATATTTTAAAAATCGTCTTGTACCGATATTTATGCAATCATAACATATACTAGTATTCTATGTTCTGTGAGGTTTTATGTCAATACTAGTGGTTTCCGACTCTGACCGTGTGTAATTAAAAAAAATATAGACTATGTCTTGTTCCATACAATGCTCTACATCTATGCCAAATTTAAACAATTTTCATGCAGTTGTTTTGAAGATACCTTCAAACATCCATCCAAATATTCGCATTTATAATATTAGTAAGGCAATTATAATAATAGTATTGTTGTTTCAGATAGTGTAGGAAGAGATGAATGCCAGTGTAACAGCTCGCACAGCTGTACAACATAACGCACCAACAGATCCCTCTCAGTTTTTCACTGAATGCAAACTGAGTTAATTATCTTCAAATGTACTACATGACTACAATACGCATTCAATGTTGTGTGAATTGGTGTGTGTGAGCTCCGTATGTATAACGCTTTTTTATATATGTACAGACCGACAGACTTATCTGACTTGAAGTCTAATAAAACTAATTTGAACTGGTGAGGGGCGCTGCTATCGCGGTTCGTTTTGTCAATATATAAAACCTACTTTGGATATGACATGACAGCTATAGTACAAAGAGGATCTTGACATTTTTTGACATTGACAGGAGGGTGTTAGTGAGCTGTCATTTAGTTTGACTTATGTCTAACTAGCCTTGTCGGTAACTCATTAACGATCATCTGTCAATGTCAAAAACATGTCGGAAGATCCTTGTCGTACTGTGACTGTCTTTTGTGTCATATTCTATGCTTAACTCGTTGAGCGCCACGTCAGTCATCGGTGGCTGACATTAGATTTTTCGTTTAGGTCGCTTCAACCATCGTGTAACATGAGAACTATAAAATTTTACACTATTTTTCGTTAAAAATGTAAACTATTTTGTACTGCAATCGGAAACACCGGCTCTTTAATACCATAATAAGCGGCGCTCGTGGCCTGAACGGGATTGTCTTAGAACGCGTGGCGATCAACGTGTTAAGTAGTATTTTCACGGGGCCAGATAAATTTGTCGGACTATAATCTGTCAAAGTCTGTCTGTCACTTGTATATATTAAAATAAGGGCATTTACAAATTGATGGTTGCATTCGCTTATTAAATGTGAATTATTTTTAATTTGTAAGTGCTATATGTCTTGTACGCATTGTATTAAGTCTAACGCATAAAAAATATTCTGAAAGTTCCAATTATTAAAATAATTTGTTTATCTTTGCCCTAAGATACCTCTTTCCTCTCATGTGGTCTATCAAAACACTATTATTTCAGTTTTTTTTAATTGACTACTGATAAAAAAATTAACATCTAAATGAAATTAATTTGGTTAAATAAAATGAGTTTGGATATTATCTGGTTAGGTTTTTGATGTAACAAAATATATAAATTTTGTCAGAGAATTTAATAAAAAACTGTTCCGAGACATAATCAAATAATTTTTACTTTGTTATTAAAAAAGATAATTTCAATATTAAGGTGCTTTTTATTTCTTGCAAATACATTCCTAGATTATAAAACTCACTGTTTACCCAATAATGCGTTACTGTCGCAATGTTAAAATTGTCTTTCTTTGGAGTTTGTTAAAGGGGATTGTTGAAAATTTTGTTTTTTTTTTAAAAACAGAGATTATATTTTTCGATATATTATTACTTATTTTTTGTTCAATGTATTGTTGTAATCCAAAAAATGTTTAAAGTACACAGTTTCCTTTCAATGTCAAAATAAAAAAAAAAAATTGTTATCGAAATCTGTAAATTTAGTATGAATTTGAGTTAAAATTTTTGGCTTTTTGTTGATGCAAAAAATAGCCAAAAAAGACGGTTTTAAACATAATTATGATATCCAAGTTATAAATTCAATAACAAAAGTTTAACACGTTAGCTGCCAGTATGATTTTTCCAAAAACGAAAAAAAAAATGTTTTTAATTTTGTCCAAAACCATGGGGCCTTGCGGGTCACGGCTGTATACAACAATTAAAAAGCCACAGTGAGGTGTTGAATGGAAGTATGGCTTGATTGAAACATTAGCTCGTCGGACGTATATTCCGACATGACAGCTAACGTGTTAACCAAGTCTTTGTCAAATCAACTTAAGAAAGGTTCTTTTTTCAAATGAAATGTTTACGTTTTTCATAATTTTTAATAACTCCAACAATTAAGACTGTTGGATATTAAATTGTTTGCTAGAAATTGTCAATATTTAAACGTCATTTCCTTAAAAATACGCATTGCCTCGCTCCGTGGCTATATTTAACTGATAAGTTTTTTTTTTTAAAGACTCCATTTAATGTCGATTTTACCACCATTAACAGTTGTATGAAATTAATTTGGATAAAATTTCCTCTCACTTTGATTGAAATATGTATCAGTATAGTACGCTCCAATCGTTTTGGCCTTTGCAAGTTACAGAAGAGTTTTTGCATAGAAAAGGGTTTATTATAAATCTTATTCCGAAAAACTTCATAGAAATAGAAAAACATGGAATGGAAAATGATTTGTTTCAATTAATCCATGGAAAATATCTATGTATTTGTTTTTTTTTTAACATTTCGTGAACATGTGTATTTGCTTTTAAACGAGAAGCCTATTGTGAAAAACCGCACAACTAATTATTATAAAAATGTTGCAATTGACATTATTATGTTAATTTTGAATAAAAATAATTTTTATTTCATCGCATTTAATAAAATCCCTTAAAATACTTTGAAACATAATTACTAGGCGATGGATATTAAATTAATTTTATTCGTTTTAATAACATTTTGCGTAATTTATAAGGAATTTTTAAAATCATTTTCAGTTTGGTTGCTGTTAAATAGGGAGTCATTTTTTCGCTGAAAATGTGATAATGGGTTTAGGCTTTAATTGACTGTCGACAAGGCCTTTGCATTTCTTTTGTAAATGTAAATTTAATTTTTTAAATCGCCTAATTTTTTTTTTTAAATAAGTTACACGGAATTCTGTCGTGGTATTTATAAGCTCGGAACTGTTTCCGTGGAACAACAGTATTAACAACAGTGTTACCAACCGTATAAAGACCATAGACAATGAGTTTCGTGTGATTTATTTTTAAACATTTTGAAAATGGTGTCTGATGTAGTTTATAAGTTGATTAATGTCTAAATCCACTCCTAAATAAATGAAATAGTACACGTAAGCGTTTTAAGATGTGTGCATTTGTGATTGTTTTTTTTTATATCCAAGTGCTAAATGCCATATTTTCATATGATTAAAAAAAAACTTGTCTATTTGAAAAAAAAAATTAAATTCGAAATTTGAAAAAAGGCATGAACAATTGCACACTTTAGGTATTCTAGTTGGTAAGATTTTAATGTATGTATTGTTCAGATGCAAATATTTAGAAGAATCAGCATGTAAATAAACGATAAATTAGTCTTTAATTTAAAAAAAAAAACGAAATAAGTGTAACGCATCATATTCTTTGGTGTTGCATTTTTTATGTAGTTGTATCAATTTTTGTATTGGATATTTGAACGCATTTTTATTCTATTAGTTTAATTTTTGTATTCGGAAATGTTGGTAAAAGTTTTTTCATAAGTATGCGCTAACTTGTACCTATATATAATATTGCATAACATTATTCATTATGTAATTTGCATGTTTATAATGTTGCTTATAACTGTCAAAAAGCGAGGGAATTCGATTGAATTTGTTTATCGATTGTTACAAAATCGATGTTAACGATATCGATTATTCAATTGTCAATGATTAAAAAAATCATTTTCTTTTTTCAAAGTCAAATAATATTTTATCGGCAGTATAGTTAGCGCATGTAAACATTTTAGTGGAAATTTACTCATGTATTTTGTATGTAATGTATTGAATTTCATATTGTATGACACTTGTATACTATTGCTATCTCTGTTTAATTCATAAAGAATGAAAGAGATGGCAGTATTGTATAGTTTGGTCAGGAATATAAACATTATCGCTATGTTACGGAATGATAATAACTTATTCCTTTGCACATTCTTAGATTGAGATATGTCTCGAATATGCGTATCAAGGACAGATTTTTTATATTCTTGGTTCGACTATAATACAGGTTTTAAAGTGAAGGATTTTCGGTAATATTTAGTAGTAGTCTTTGTTACTTGTTAATTATTATGAATTGTCACAATGCGTTTGTATCACTTGACTATGCTTTTCCGCGGTGTATCGGCTCGTATATTATTTTTATACAAATAATAAAATTGTAAATGTTTAAAATCTACCCGGTCGCTGGGCCCTCGAGTAATTCTTCCAAATATTGTGAAGCCTCTGAATAATTCAAAATATATTTATATTAACTGTTCAAATGTTTGTTTCATTTTACAAAATCCACATTTTTTTCTATACATTTTAAAATATACTCATAAAAAACGATAGATTTCATTATCAGCCCTGTCTCGTTTATATTTATTTATTTATTTTAAGCTTTGTACACAGTTTAAAGTACATAGTGTAACATTACATAGAAATACAATGATGTACAGGTGAGCTTAACTCTGAAAGAGTTCTCTTACAGCTAACCTTGCGATACAGAGAGGATGT